AAAAAAAAAAAAAAAAAGTGCTACTTATTCTCCAGTAGGAATTAGCTGGGTCTCTATATGAAAGTCGACTTGGAAATTATATATAATTAATCTTAAACTCAAGATTAATCAAGGTATGTCTGGAAATTTAGCTTCCCACTTCCCCAAACAGTGACTTCCTAGTCATGAAGATGGTTTGGGAATCTGTTAAAGATGGGTTTTTACATCTAGTAAGACATCCCTGCATCCAATCAAAATAGTGAAGTAAAGGTTAGGTATCTTGTGTAAAGCTAATGCAGTGGACCATTTGGGATCTCCCCTTCCATGTTCTTAAGAAAACTCCATTTTATTCAAGTATCCCTTCTTCCCAGAGGAAATCATCCTCTTCATGGGAAGGTGACCTCACCTCCTGGGGTGGGTTGAGTTAGTCAAGGGTTAACCTGCCCCTCTTAAAAGTGATGGAGACAAGAATGGACCATGGCTCAATTGAGTATTGAATCAGCTACAAAGAGGACTTGGTGAGGGTCTCTGCGAAAATTCTCTTCCTTCTGGAACACTTTTCAGAAGTTCTTCCCTTTCTCCCATCAATACAAATGACAGTAGCTTCTCTACTGACATCACCTTATAACCATAAGAGAAACCAACCTTCCATGAAGCTGACACAAATAGGCAGTAGAGTGGAAACATTAAGGAAATGTGGATCCTTGATGAGGACGCCTGAGCTGCTGGTTTAGTCAAGCCCCAGAGCGTGCCCTCTATCTTTCAAGTTCCTGCCTGTGAGCTAGATTTCCTTGTTACACAAGAAACAGTTCTGAATTCGGTTTACTATCATAGCTAGAAACATATTAACGGATACAACTCCTTTTTCTTTCTAGTCATGGCTTTTAAACAGGTAATTGTTTCCCAATTATGGAAACAAAATGTCTGTTACAGCAGAATGGATTTACTACTTCCAAGAACAGAGCAGGAGAGAGAGTAAGAGCTATTTACAGGCACTGTAAATATCAAGGGAAAATGACCATCAATATTGAATGATTTTTTTAAAAAATATTATTTTGGCATGTGCAATGTTTGATGTGTATATATAACTGAGCTTAATGGTCTTCTTTTAAAACAAACAAACCAAACTTACTGCCATCGAGTCAATCCCGACTCATAGCGACCCCTCCTTGGGTTTCTGAGGTGGTATCTCTACGGAAGTAGATTGCCCAATCTTCCTTCTGAGGAGTGGTTGGTGGGTTTGAACCGCCAGCCTTCTGATTAGCAGTCAAATGTCTTAGACACTACACATTTCATTTTAGAGAAACATTTTGAAAAAAAAAAATACAAAATGAAGGAAACATAGTTACCTTCATAAATTACATCAGGATAATTTGGGTTTGCACCTAAAAAGCAAAACAAAGCAAAGATTCATAAGTATGCATTTTGGAGTTTAAAAATTACTAATTTACACCAACAAAAAAATGATTTGAACATATTTTAAAGGCTTTATAATAAAATATTGTACAGAACAGATAAATAAAATCTGAAAATCTTGATTTACTCATGTTAATTCTGTTCCCTTCTCCAGTTCCCCAATCCCCTCCCCTCCAAAACAGAAGAAAAGAAGAAAGAGAAGTCATGAATTACTTTAACTGGAAACATCTTAGCAATCAATTAATTATGGTCATTTCTTTTTTGTCCTGTTTCTATTATACAGCTGGCCATTTTAATGGCAGTTTTGATACTTTTATTCCAGTGACAGATAACAATTTTCATACCACTTTTATTATCTTCTGATGGTTTATGGGTAACTTTTTTTTAAAATTTTTATTGTGATTTGGGTGAAAGTTCACAGAGCAATTTCATTTTCCATACAGCAGTTCATACACATTTTGTCTCATGACATTGACTGAAATTTCCCACAATGTAACAACAGCTCTTTTTCCACTTCCTCCCCATAGTTACCTCTTCCCTGTGTCCTTTCCTCCCATGTACTCCTGACCCCCACCCCCAGCAGTCTCTCTGTGCATACACTGCCCTTCTGTTCTGCCATGATTGATCTCTCCAAAGAGTGTATCTACCTGATGTAAATGTTCAGCCCATATGCTGGTCTTTTATTTGGCTGGAAGCCACAGTTCAATTCCAGATCTAAAGGGCATCTAGGGTCTACTATCTCAGGGGTTTCACTAGGCTCTATCAGACCAGCAAGTATGGTCTTTTTTTCTTTCTTTCTTTTTCAATGATTTTGAGTTTTGTTCCATATTGTTCTCCCACTCTATGCAGGATCTCATACACAGATCACCCTCCGAGTAGTTGGCAGTGGTAGCTGGGCACCATCTAGTTCTTCTAGTCTCATGGTCCTATAGGCTGAGGATAGCATGGTCTTCCAGTCCCTTGGACTAAGTGTTTCCATTTGTCTTTGACTTTTGTCATCCTTTTTTGCTCTGGATGAGGAGAGACCCATCATTGCATGTAGATGGCCACTTCCAAGCTTTTAAGATCCCAGTCACTACTCACTAAAGCAGGATGTGGAACAATATTTTTGTGTAGTATGTTATGCCAATTGAGCTTGATGTCCCCTGGGACCATGGTCTCAAGCCCACAGGTTCAACTACTCACTCCCTCCAGGTAGCTGGCTGTGGCCAAGAAGTCACCACAACCTTGTGGTTTAGGAGTTACTTTTAAACTATATTTTACCAGGTCCTTTGCATATACAAGTATTAACCACCCATGATAATGATGAATCCATGGTGCAATTTTGCTGTTCACTTAAGTCTTCAGGGAGAGTCCAAGGCTGAATAAACTATTTTTGCCCTAACATAACATAAGAAAATAAAATGTATTTCTCTATTGAAATCATTTATGTACAAGTGATTATAAATACAGGTTATCTCAGAGATAACCTGTATTTATAATGCAAGAGAGAAATGCAAAAGTATACTAACTTAATTTAGGAGACTACTCTACAGCTATCAAGATGATCAAAACAATCCGTTTCATGGTATTCCCATGAAAACTGACAAAAGTATTTAAAAAAAATAAAAATTGAATCAGTATCAACAAGAACTAGTGACAAAAAAAAAAAAAAAAAAAGCCACTTATTTGCTAATCAGACCTAGCCGGGTCTCTATATGAAAGCCTACTTGGAAATAAAATTCAATTTTCATATAGCAGTTAAGTGACTGAAAAATGAATCTCCAAATTTACCCTCTGTTTTCAGTCATCACATACCATGTGAAAAAGTAAAACTTGTAAAGTACAAAGTTTATTCAGTTTTCATTTCACTTCTAAATACTTAGTAGAAAAATACCATTTTAAATAAAGTGAAACTTTACAGTATTCTGTTCACATATTCTCCAGTGGATAATCAAGGTTAATCTAAATTAAGAACCAAATAAAAGTGGACCTAATGTCCAATGTTAGAATTTTAACACATTTCAGCTAGAAAATAAAAACTGTTTTCACAGGGGAAAAATTAAATGGAAAGCTCTGCACTTTGATTAATGGGTACTGCTTATTGCTATACACTTTATGCTTTGCACAGCTCCGGGGGCATCATTCAAATTGTGGTCTAAAATTGTGCACCTAAAATTGTGCAATACATAACTTGTACACCATATGTGATGGTGCTGCATCAACTGATGCAAAGTCATGGCTCCTAGCAAATGTCAATTGTATTTTGATGAGTTTCTTTATCCCAAACACTTTTTCAAATTAGGTTAAGTTCTACCATGTCAATATGCATTGTCAGAATTAGTTGTGACAGAAATGGACCCCTGCAGAAGGGACTTGAAGGATACCCTGAAGTTGGAGGGGTAATTCAGTAAATAAGGCAGCACAAAATCCCAGCAGCAACCTCATGATACCATTTGCAAGGCTTCTCCTTTTCCTCTGAAGTGATTACCCTTTGCAAAGTCCCTCAACCAAATGATGTCCACTCACAATGGGGTTTTACTAACCCTGCTGAAAGAAAGGTTCTATAATTCCAGTGAACAAGTCATTCCTTGAACCAGTACTTTGGAAAACCCCATAGTGGCTCTCTTCCAACTGTGCCCCTCTTGTAAAGATACAAGTTCATTCAGAGTTCACATCTCACTTTTAGACCTCACTCTAGGTACACAGGGTACTGAATGTCCTCCCTAAAATGTCCAAGCCCACTTGTTAGGCCTGGCCAGCTGTTTCCCCTGGATCTGTCAGCCCAAGGGCAGACCACATCAGTATCAGTGTCTTTGGCCCAGGTCTCAAAGGAAAGGGTGAAGGCTGAGATAGAACCAGATGGACTGGTGTGTCCATCTGCACATTTGTGAAGTCTCTCATGGTACAGATCCAAGTCAGGTGGCAGGGGTCATGACTGGGGACTGCCTCTACCCAAACCTGAATGTTCCAACATGGAACTCCAAGGACCAGAGAATTCTAACTTCAAACTCAGCCTTCCAGGTTACTATAAACATGTATTTTTCAAACTAGGAGGACAGGACCTATTTTGTATAATAACTCATTCTCTTGATTTATAAATTAAGTATTTGGACATAAGGTTGTGGACCTTCATTTGTTCTAGGGTAATCAACCATCACAATTTGCCTGGGACTAAGGAGATCCCTGAGACACTGGACTTTAATTTGAAAACCGAGAAAGTCCCAGGCAAATTGTTTCCATTTGCCCAGGATTGACTCTCAGTGAGAAAACCAGAATGTGTGTAGTAAACAGGGACAAGTTCGTTAATCTGATTTGTATTCATGCCCTGGACCCTGCACATGAGAGAGGTGGCCCTGCAGTTATCATTCACTTTTATACCTACAATCCCATAAGAAAGTGAAAGGATTCAGAGCCAGGCTTTCTAATATGAGTAACACAGAGGTTTAATCATCCTCAATACAGAAAAGGAATATACAAACACATTAACCACACAAAACCTCTAGGAAGACCCAAGAACCTTGAACTAATCCAATGTATCAAGTGTTAAGTATGGAAAAAATAGAACTTGCGGTGAGATCCAAAGTAAATAGTTTAGCCTATAATCTAGAACACAGGTCACAATTCAGACTTATGAATCGAATCAAGGCACGCATGCCTTTCCCACCAAGTCACCAGTAAAACTAACAGGCCACATCTAAATTTTCTGAAAAGCACTATATTTTCCCAGCTGTACAAGAAGTATTGTCACTTTATTCTCATTGTCAGTAATAGCCAAATTTAGCACAAGATTATGAAACTCACAGAAAAATAATGTAAGAGAAGTAATAATAATTTTTTTTTCCCTCCTCTCCCTCTCCTTAGCATACTGTACTTTGTCTGACGAGGTATACTCATCCCAATAAAGAAATGCCTCTTAGTGTATAAATGTCTGGGAAGCTTAATATATGGGAGGGTGCACAGATCTAGAGGTTATGAAAAACAAGAGCCACATTATTCCAGCTATTCCAGCTCATCAAGAACAGCATTTTGCTTCCAGCAACTTCTCAGTCAAGCAAAACCTCCCCTGATGTTTACACTACAACAGTGAGGTAGTTATTAACATCATTTTAAAGGCAGACACAGAAAAAACTACTCCTTTTCAGACTTCTGGAAATGGTCTAATTTTGAAAATAACCTGCCATTTTTAAGTCTAATTTCTAACTCTTTCCTTTTACTTAATTTAAATATGTTCATCATATCTGTAGCAGTAGTAGTAGTAGTTGTTGTTGTTGTTAGCTGATGCTGCGTCGGCTCCAACTCATGAAGACCTCTTGGGTAACAGAACTTATGCGTAACACAGCGTTGCCCAGTCCTGTGTCATCTTCATGATCATTGGCATGCTTGAGTCCATTGTTGTGGCAAAATAGTGATTGCTACAGTTGGGGATCACTGTTTAAGATACCCAGGAGTGGAGGCGGGGCAAGATGGCGGACTAGGCAGAAGGATTGCACAGACCCTCTTCAACAAAGAAAAGGGAAACCAATTAACACAGAC